AGCACTGGCAAATTTGGTGGCAGCTCTGTGGTGTGCAGAGGGGTTCCCCCATGCCAGACGGCAGGAGCCCTGAGGGGTCTTTTTGGTGTGTTGCCCTCCCAGCCCCTGCTAGCCATGTGCCCTGGAAGCTGCAGTGTTTCCATTACCCTTTCAGGAGCTATTGCACCCTATGAGACCCCACAGATGCCACCCTGGTGAGGAAGAGGGCACAGCTGGAACCCGGGGAAAGAGGCCGGGTCTCTGACTGGGGTTGTCCCATACTCACAGTCCAGTTGTGCCTGCTGGGCTGTTTTGTGCACATATCGGACCATATTGCGCAGGAAGAGTTTGGAGTGAGACTTGATGTTCTCTACATCACCCTCGGCTGCGGCCTGGCTGGCCCAGGGCCAGTGAAAGTAGATGCTCCAGTTGTCAGGATCCAGTGCAAAGATGGGCACATCCCCCAGGAAAGCCACGCAAGACATCTCAGCAGAGCTGATGTTGGCGAAGAAGCTGGTCTGAAGTATCTGCAAAACCTGCGGCTCTGCTGGGAAAGAGGATGGTGATGGGAAGGGCTGCAGGAAAGAGGAGACGAGTGGGGACAGGCTGGAGGGGAAACACGGGATTCAGACTAGATATAAGGAATAAACTGTTTACACCGAGGGTGGTGAAACACTGGCACAGGTTGCCCAAAGAGGTGGTAGATGCCCCACCTGTGGAAACATTCAAGGTGAGGTGGGATGGGGCTCTGAGCAACCTGATCTAGTTGAAGATGTCCCTGCTTGTGGCAGGGGTTTTGGACTAGATGGCCTTTAAAGGTCCCTTCCCACCCAAACCATTCTATGATTCTATGCTCTTCAGCCCTCTCAGGGTTGCTTTCTATCTGAATTTCCTCTGCCTCCGTTGCTCTTTTTCCTTCTCTATTTTGCTTTCAACGAGGTGTTTCTCTCCCATACAGGATTTCAGGCATCTTGTCCCCTCCCCTCCCCACCTCCCTCCTGCCCAGCGCCTGTTGTCTGGCTGTGCAGAGCAGGCACCTCGGTGCTCATTTGCGGTGATGCTTCCCCTAGAAAAAGCACCCATGCCAGGACCTGTATCTGCCAGAGACCTGCAAGTAGTGCAGAGGACATGGAGGATGGAGGGAGGGAAAGGGCATTTTGTCCAGGTTTGGGGGCTCCTGGGCATCGGGAGCTCAAGGAGGCTGAACTCTGACAGGGGCAGGAGAGTAGCCCAGCCCAGAGATCCATCCTGCGTTCCCATGTCTGCTGCTGCTCCCTCCTCCCCAGAAATGTGAGGTTTCATGGGGTTGTGGTGAAACGCTCTGTGTGACGGCAGCGCCCAAAACACCCTCTCCGCAGGTGCAGCTCCCCAACGAACAAGGCGCTGCTGGAAGGGGCCCACAGCATCACGTGGGGCTGAGACTCCCTCTGGTGCCCATGGGCTCCCTGCAGGAGGAAGGCGCCTTTAGGGGATCCCCAACACCCCAGGCCTGGCTGGAGAACCCTGGCCTTAATTCTGCTTGAGTACCCGAGTCCCTGTGCCAGAGCTGATGGGGCATGAAGGCCCAAGCTGAAGGCAGGAACAGAGAGGGTAGGCAGGGACAGGGCACTTTTGGGTGCTATGCCATAGGGAGTGGCCCTTTGATGATGGGGATCATCCCCCCCGTGCAGGGAACAGTGGCCTGGCCGTGCCTCCCCTGAGGAACCTGGGGGGGTCCTCTGACAGAGGGGTGAGAGCAGTTGGGGTGAGCCAGGGCTCACACTTACCCTCTGGGTCTGCCCACATCTCGGGGAGGATGAAAGGGAGAAAGAGGAAGAGGAGGAGGTGAGGGGGCTGCATGATGCATGCAGCACAGCCAAAGCAGCAGCAGCAGTGACGGTGGGAGGAAGAAGAACCCATGAGGTCCCACGCTTCAACCCAGCCAACAGTCATGTTGGTGGCTCTCCGCCAATGGGACTGGTGCGGAAGTGTTGGGGAGGGGCCCAGAGGTCCTGAGCTGGGGACTGGGGATCTGTGAGAGGAAGGAAAGCCGAAATAAGGTCTTAAGCATGAAGTGCTGCGACAGGCTGGGGCTGGAGAGAGCCTGGCCAGGAGGAGAGGGCAGGGAAAGGGAAGCCCAGGAAATGGCACTAGGAGAAAATGGGTGCTCAAGAACCTGAGCTGGGTCCCTCTGACTCCCCCTTCTCACTGATGGTACCTCGCCCCATCACTGTTCTTGTGGGGTGCATCAGCTCCGATGGAAGTGACGATGGATTTTGGGTTTCAGCCCTGACTGGAGAAGACAGCTGCTGTCCTTTCAGCTCCAGTACAGGGAGAAGGGCTACTTTGGGTCCCCGTGCCAGCACATCCAGCTCAGGCTCCTCCTACACTGCCTGCCTAACTCTTGGGATGGGGCTCCTTGGTAGTAGGTGACAAGCAGTTCCCATCCAACTGATGGCTCCAGGAACAGTGCTGGGGAGCTCCAGTTCTCCCATAAATGCCCCCAGGAGAGGGCCTGGGG